CGGACCACTTATTACATTTCTGATCTAATAGCTGAACCAACCAGAAAGAGTGACTAGTTTAAAGGCTTCTAAGTTCAGGTAGCTAGGCCAGTCCACTTTCATAGGTATACCCAAAACCTTCAAGACCATCTCTACCTTATGATCAACATGATCAATTCCCCCAAATTCTGAAAGGGGGTTAGGACTTAGGTGTATGCATTGTATATGAGCTACAAAGACAACACTTCTATCTTGTCTATATAAGGCGGATTACCCATCCATAGTGTTTCTCCATTAGGCTCCATTTGGAAAGAGTTCAAATGCCAGTTCAGTGCATATATGCACTCTGGTTCAGTTTTGCTGATGTTTGGCAAGAATACATTTGTGCATTGACAAGGACAGGAAACACAGTTTTCAAGGCATGTTTGCACCCAAAATGAGAGGGAATTTTACATCAAAAAAAAAAATCAATGTACATTTTCACTCAAAGTTGATCAAATGTTAAAAAGGTATATTTCAGTCTCGAGATTTGTGTTTGCATCCATTACAACTAAAATTTGTTTGACAACAAAGAAAATTTATCATTTATCAAAAAAAGAAAGTAAATTTATCAATGCAAAACTAAACCAACTTTTCATTTGTATGGACCAGAATGCACTCTACATATTTGCATTTGCACTATATTTGCACTCTTCCCAAACAGAGCCTTAATAAATTACCTTCTGATTTCTAACCATACAAAGAAACAAAGAAAAACAGTCAAACACCCAAAATCCCCTTCTACAGCATATGAGAATGATCTCTCTCCTCTCCACTCATTCTCATGGAGAAAACCACTGTGCCATTTTTTTAGCAATAACTGCAACTTTCATTGATTAAATAGAATGATTACAAGAAGAGGAGAGGTAACCTTTTTTAACTCTGCCCAATGAAAAACAATTACAACTGAGCCCAAAATAATTGACTTCTCCTCCACCCCTGGTTTTGCAAGCACATCAGCAAAAACATTAACAGATCGTTTGACTCGTTTAACTTTCACATCCATATTCTGTGTCAGCCATTTGAACTTCTACTCACCATTAAAATTCGAAAAAAAACATGTTCCTTCCTTTTGCAACCAACCCACCACCAACTTTGAATCACCTTCTATTACCAATTTGCTCAAGTTCAACTCTTTTGCCTTCTGCACTCCCTCCCTAACTGCCAAAATCTCAGCCACCCACCCCTATTCGACCACAGTCCAGGCCAATTACTTTCCCTTCACCATTTCTGAAAACACCTCCGATACCTGCAGGGCCTGGGTTTCCAGTACTACTCCCATCAAAATTTAACTTAACATGATCATTGGCTGGAGGAACCCAAAGGGGGATAGCAATGACCTTATGACACTCTGAATTAGCCACTTCCAATTTTTCAAAAAATGATTAGTAGAAAAATCAGCAAAGATCTCCAAGGATTTCATCCAGTGGACTATATAATAGTCTCTATAATTGCCTCTTTGCTTCTTTCTTCATTTGAAAAGATTCTTGAGTTCCTCTCCTCCCAAACAGACCAGCTTACTGCAGTCCTTACACACTCCCACAACACTTTCCCCCCTTTTTTAGGCCACCTAAAGAAGGTAGAGGAAAACAAGCTTTGCACACTAGGCGAGGGAATCCACCTACACCCAAACAAAGAAAAAACTATTCCCAAATAGAAGTAGCAACTAGGCAGGAGATTAACAAGTGAAGGAAAGTTTCTCCATTAGCCTTACACATAACACACCAATGAGGGGATAAGCACCAGAGGGGATACCTTCCGTCCTTTTCCTGTTGATGAGGTTTGGTGCAGAGCAATACCTC